CCGTGTTAGCAGGTAAAAAAATTGTTGTGTGATTACTCATTATAATATAATGTAAAGAACATTAACAGTCAAGAGCGGGGTGTGCGCGGGGAAATGATGGCAGTAGTAGCGAACCGTCGTCTGCACTCTTCCAGTCGGCAGAATGAAATGGGTCGCCTTGAGTGCTACAGTGAAATCAAGCTGTTAGTTGATGCTCACGCATTGTTCTATTTGACTTAATTGTTAATAATTTTTATTATACATTTATATCTCTATTAGCCAACTTTTTTTTCATTAACGACTGTAAACAGTGATTGGTAGCCACGGTTTAACAGTCTAGTATATAACAAACAAATTTACATGTCATATTGTAGCTGTCCAGCGATATGTAAAGATTTTCATTGAGACATCAATCAAGAGATGGTTTACATTAGAGTGCAATTAAAAGCAAAGAGTAATCTTCATTTATTTTAGAATAAAAGACAATAGCACGATTACAAAAAAAAACAAAAATAAAAAATAATTCAAGATTTTTGAGATGCAGTAAAAATGGGATGGAGAAAGCGATAGAACTCAATAAACAGCTAATTCCTCGTGGTGAGTTCTGGGTTGAGTACGTGATAGATTACATTAAATTCAGATAATTATTACACTTATTTTAGGCAATAATATCTCCTACTCAAGCAAAGAGCTGCTATTCCTATTTTAAAGGCTTTTGGGTGCAACTAAATATAATATTTTTGCTTTAACGTTTTGTTGTTATTAACTGTTCTTTTAACAATCCACAACTGTTTGCCACTAAATCGAATTACATACTTTAAAAAACTTTTTTCTTTGAGCTACCTTATTCGGTGCACCTGAACTGCGGACAAGATAATCTGGTTCTTTAATCCGACACCCGAACTGCGGAAACAAAATAGTTTGACCTGGTCAATATAATTTTAAACACCCGAACTACGGAAACTAGTCTGCGAAATAATGGAAGCGTATGGAAAAGAAGAAAACGACTAGATACAATTTGAAATTCAATTCTATTTAATAATGAAATATGTAAACAATAAATTAGAGTGAAACAATACTACCAAATTTGTAAGAGACACACTTGACAAGGTCATACCTATTTATTTGATTATTATTGCAAAATTTTAGATTGAATATAGTTTTGCTTATTTAAAACTTCGCTTCTCTGTAGCTTCTTCTCATGTTTTAACACGGAGTTAATTTTTATATAGATGTCGGTCTGCATATTAATTACCCACTTTAAAAAATATTAATATTTGGATGTGTAGAGGGAAAATGGGCACTAAATTTGGAGTGAAATGATTCGCATGTATTAGTATTTCTACAAGTAGAAGAAGTTTTAGCTGCCCATATTTTGAGTGGAAACATAGAATTAGTATCTATGTTACGGTTCGTTTTTGTTTTTGATTAAAACACAGTCATAAACTTTACCATCTTTTATCCGATAACTACGAGTTATTATTTTACCTGTTGTACATATTTAATTTACCCAGTGTTTTTTGTTTACTTTGTTTGAACCTGTAAATATAGGTCAGAAAACAGCTGTTCGGAGAATGATGCGGCCGTTGACCGCAGAGCGATATCTGGGTCACTGTCACAAATTAGCGGAGTTCGGGTATCGATACTCTGCGTTATCCGGGGCAGTTGGTTTTCGATGCAAGACTTGTGTCACGTTGTGTTCTGTGGATTGAAATCGAACCAGTTGCGTTTATTTGTTATTGTTGGGTTGGTGTTCTGTGTATTAGTAACTATATGATTTTTGATATTTTCAGACCTGGTGATTTGTCATTTTTGATCTTGTCACTTTTTGGCTAATGTATGGTGGACACATACTTTGATTTTCTTTTACTATACGGAGAATGGTCGCACTGCGCCGCTTTCTGAGTGCCTTTTACAAGGAGATAGAAAACTTCGCCATTTTTAACCCTTATTACGTGTTGCCTACATCTTGGCGCAATATTTTTAATAGGTGCGTTTTAATCATCCGCTTCTGCTTCGGAATTGTCGGTTTTCTTGTTTTAATCTGACAGGTTAAAACGACTAAACCGACAATTCCGGAAGCAGAAGCGGATGATTAAAACGCACCTGATATGTTGCTTGCTGCTGTCAGTGTCAGTGAATATTATTTTTGAAGTCACAGTTTATTGCTAAAGAATCAGTTAGCTCACTCGGACCATTTTAAAGTTTCAAAATAACATCCACTCCAGGGATACAAATTCAGGATACGCAGAAGACTGCTGTTTTATTATAGGCGGTTGTCATATATTGTACTATCCGAGTTGCACAGTGTATAAACTGAAACATTGTGATCAAAAGTGCCGACGCAGAGTGAGCGATCTGATTCTTTAGCTGTAAACTGTGTCACAGGGTTCAAAATGGCCGCGCCCTATGTTGGGCGTGTCGGACCTCTCTCTTGCCTCGTATAGTAATCAAAGTATGTGATGTTGGTGAATAACATTTGGTAGGCGTTTCAAATATATATGACAAAGTGTTGGTCATCCGATAAGGGACTATTTTGGAGCCTACCTTTTAGACCAGGAGAATTTTATTAGTCTTGTGTTTTATGGATATTTTTTGGGTAAATTTCCATGGTATGTTTAAGGGATTAATTGCTGTTTATCACCCAGTCCAAATCTGTACATATGATACTGATCTGTTAAAAACTCCAAATTGGTTTAGTTGGGTATGTATATAAGTATTTATTTTTCTATTTAGAAATTGTCTTTTCTGAGCACATATTCTCACTTGTGTATAAAGATTTAATGGGAATTTTCATTACAGCGTGAGGGGTTATTAAGTTTTATTTTTAAAAAAGATACACTTATACTGATAAGTGTCTGGAGTATAATCTATTTGGATCATATTATTTACTTAGTCGTGTTTTTAGGGTTTTTCTTTTACCTTGTGGTGTTTCCTTATCACTACATGTGGTTTATTGTATGCCCACGAACACCTAGAAAGGGTTGAGACTAGCCGAATGACTGCGGACCTAGTTCTAGACGGATCTGGATCTGCGAGGTGGAACCTGAGTTTTATTTGGTTGCTGTGTAAGCATGTGCTTGAGTGCTACTCTAGCTGGTATCTACCACATCCAACAGACAAATCTGGCAGTTTGACTTCCCCGGATAGTCAGATTAGTGAGTTTATCCTTTGAGTAAGGTATTTATACTCCAAGCTACTCGTGTTCCCATCGTGGAAACCCCAATAAGGGAAATCAAGCCCATTTGCAATTGCTTTATTTTAAATGCTTGCTTAAGTCTATAAGTTTATTTGTAATAACCATGTCATAAACACGTGATGGGCTCATAACGCGTTATTAGGTCATAAGTTAGGTTAAGTTATTGGATCCCTTAATTAGTGTACTTACTGTTATTTTGTTTCCACGCTGTATATTAAATATACTTATTATGTTCTATAACTGGATGCCTTACCTGGCTTCAGAATACTTGTAAAGTATTACATCTGTATATTAAATATACTTATTTTATTCTATAATTGAAGGCCACACCTGGATTCAGAATACTTATAAAGTATTACACCTGTATATTAAATATACTTATTTGTTCTATAATTAAAGGCCACACCTGGCCTCAGAATACTTGTAAAGTATTTCATTTGTATATTAAATATTACTTATTTTGTTCTATAATTAATGCCTCACCGGGCTTCAGGGTACTTGAGAAATATTTTAATTTGTTTATTGAAGATACAGCCAACTAAACTTCCACCTAGTTTCATTTTTAGTTTTATAGTTGCCCGGTGCATTTTAATTAAGACTTTAAGTCTAGGAATCAACCAATTTGGTGATTTGGTGGTTGGTTTAATACTTCTAGAGGGTATTTTGCCGTCAAATTTAACCTGTTGTCCCCTTTCAACTTTATTTATCTCACTACTCCCTTCTCCGACTGGAGCTACTCGCGGTGAAAATACCTAATTGTCACCCAGGAAAATTGGAACCCTTTTGCCATCGTTGACAACCCTCTCAAAGCCTTAATTAACTATTTGTGTTGTGGTTGGGCGCAGAGGCGGTTGGCAACGTGGCATCTATATATTGTATCCACTAAATAAGCATAAAATTTAGTAATTCTTTCATCATCTTGCTTCTCAGCCAAGAAATCTTGACAAAAAAAGGCCTCTACTTCATCTGTAAATAAAAAGGACAGCCCAAATATAGGATGCAGTTATCTTTCAATAGTGGAATTAATGTCTTTATATTCTGTGCTCAGACTAAGTTGTTGTATTTTGCACCACCTAAAAATCGTTCATTATTTCACCAGTTGTGAAAAGAAAACAACTAAAAATAAACCTTTTTTTGGTTTTAAAATCAATATATTAAAATCAACGTTTTAACTTTTCTCACGTGTCTGATTAATAAAATATATAACACTGTCTTCTGACAAACCGAACTTCTAAACGAGAATAGTCAATTTAACCCATAGATCAAGTCCGCAGTTCGAGTTAGGGATTATATCCCTTTTTAATTACCTTTATACCTGCCCCATGCATTTCCGCAGTTCGAGTGCGTCCACCTTATTTTACACTAATTTAAGATTCACATTTTACCAAGATTTAATAAAATAATGCGCTATTAAGTCTAGAATATTTTTATTTATTCAAATAATAAAAATATTATAGGCAAGAATATTTTCCAATATAAGCATTAATAAACTATCACTGGATGTTTTTTTTTTTTTTTTGATAGATCATTTCAAATATCTACATTTTTTTCGTTTATCGTATGATTGTTGTTTATAATGGAAAAATATGGAGTGGTTTATATTTTGAGAATGAATACAACTTTTAAGATAATAAAAATATATTCTCATAATCGAAAATTTATGCTACATAATTATTAATAAATTTTTTATTATTTAAAAATTATACATAATAAAATAAAATATTTAAATATTTTGATTTAACATGCATAATGTTTTTATTTATTATGAAGTATAAAGTATATAAGGGCCAAAAAATCATTCAAAAGACACACCAGTTTACAATCTGATTTCATCATGAAGGTCGCGGTACTTGGATTTGTTTTAATCGTTCTTGTTGTAAACTCTTTAAGTAGTCCAGTGGAAGAGGTGCAGGCTGAAGGTTAGTGGTTATTAATTTTATTAAAAGTTCTGCAGAAATAAAAAAACACGTATTTTTTATGCTTTGTTTTCATCGGATACATCGATGGCTCAATCAAAAACCGCCACAAGTCAAAAAACAAAAAAAATTACATTTTTGGTCCAATGGATACAAAATATCATTAAGGTTTTACTTTAAATACCGCCACAAATAAAAATATTTTTAAATATGCCCAAAAATCATTTAAAATCTAGTCACAGACTGTGTCTAAAACTACCTCAATTGGAGTTATTTTCTGCAAAAACTTTTATAATCGTAATCGTTAATTTTAACAGCAGAATATCAAAGATTTTATGTCAAAAACAAAATAATGATAATAGAGAATTACAAATTTCAAAATGAAATTTCTCGAAACAATAGTTTTTGAGTTGTGGCAGTATCTGATTGAGCCATCGACATGTCCTTTTTACTCAGGATGATGTAAAACCCATCTTTTTTTTAATGATTTCGCTTTCGCCAAACGTTGGCTCTATATCAGCAATTTTACTTTAAATGAGATCTCTTACCTCTAAAATAGTAGCTAGTTTAGTTACTGAACCATTTGCTCATAATAGCCTAAAAAAAGAATCGAGCAGAAGAAAATTAGAAGATCTAGGAGGCCAATTGAATTCAACCATTCTCGAGATATCATATTTAGAGTAAGGTTAATATTTCTGCTGAAACCACAGGTTATTAAAATATTTAATATCGTAAAAAAATAGTTTCCGCATTGATTTCTTCAGGATATACGTAATGCATTCTAAAAACGTACATTTTGATGATACAATAAATGTGTCTGTTCAAAAATCAATTTAATTGAAATTGAACTTCATTTATTAATATAATTTTTTGAAAGATGGACATACCTTCTTTGTAAAGTAGGCATTAGTTCTTAAATTTACTAAATATAGTTAAAAATATATATATCATTTGTTCAAATCTTTTAAGTATTTCAAAGTCCATAGATGTATGTTTGGTTCTTCTGATACTCTATCACTCACCAGAACAATATTTTCTTTCCCCTGATCTATCAATTTATTAATACTACACATTTGGTATGTCGAATATGTTGTATCTTTAAATACCATTTTTACAAAATGTAAAATTCAAAATTGTATAGAATTAACATTCAACTGATGGGTTAATAATTTTTTATTTCAATTTAAAAATAAATATATTGTTTCAGAACATAGCCGAGTCAAAAGATTCTCCTGTGACGTATTGGGTTCTATTCAAGCAGGACCTGTTAAATTAAACGATGCTGCATGTGCCGCTCGTTGCCTTTTGCAGCGCCACAAGGGAGGATATTGTGACAACAAGAGACAATGCCACTGCAGATAAACCAATCTAGACATTATTTGTTATATACAATTTATACACACTATAAATTTAATAAAATCTAAAATGTCGCTCTATTAAATATTTGTTTCTGTTCAGTATCGACCCAGTATCTGTATATGTAAGGTAAGGATAGGTTGGGTTGCTCCACATGACTTAGGCCTCTTAAGGCCTATTGTACATTCCTCTTAACTTGTCAAATATCTGATATTTTACAGTAAATATGAAATTAAAAAAAAGGTAGGAAAGTGCAGGTAATTAAAAATGGCATTTCTGTTCCAAAAAGTTATTTTTATTTGAGACTGGTTTCGAAGTGATAATTCATCACTAGGAACACCTAGGTGAATAATTATGTAGTCAATACAGTACACAGCATACCGCACATAAATTTAAATATATAGAAGACAAAAAAAAATCCAAAGAAAGAATATACCAAAGGAAAAAAAATACGGATCAACTACATAAGGTAAAAATTGATATTACAAAAAAATCTATGCCATTTATCAAGTTAAAAAATTATTTTTAATTTAAGAAATAAAGAAAAATTCTCTATATAAGTCGAAACCAGTGTCGCGGTGGAAAAAGACAAATAATGTCCAACTTCTTTAAAATCTTAAATCCTTAATCTTAACAAGGGTTCATTGATTTATTTTTTATATGCAGTGTTTGCCAAAAAGTTGAATCCATATGAGATTTTTTTATTATTACGATTGGAAAAATATTACTAGAGTAATCTCCTCTGCTAATTTAAAAACTTGAAATAACCCACAATAAAGTTGGCTACTATCAAATTCGCAATATTTTAAAATTTATCTTTTTAAATATGAAAAAAGTTAAAAAAACATACTTGTTTTTAATAACATTTTACGTCAACATACCGATTTTGAATGAGATGTTCTGACTTTAAGAAAATGTTAGTTTTTAATATTCTTTGATACACCTACGTAACTGACAATTTTGGATTTATTAAAATCAGCTCTAATATAGTCAAAAACACACGTATTATCTTGCTTAAAAACTGGTCTTAAAAACTTATTCAGTCATTCTGAAATTCATCAAGGCAGTTGGTTGCGATGGAGCAATTACAAACACGGTCAGGTAAGGTGGTGTGATTCGATTACTCGAAGTAAAAATGCAAAAACCTTTTCTGTGTCTTATGTTTGTTTCATGTCAGCGAATTACCACTTCGACATCTTCAAAATTTGATGGACTAAATTCATTTCAAGGTTCAACTGGCAACATGCGAGTCAAGAACAGTAGAACTGTGTTAAGCAATTGACACTGACTAACCACATGTTACAGTAAAAGATTTGAGTACCAACCAACATAACCTATACCAAATAAGCTGTGCTATTCGATACTGAATAACTGTTCGGATAAACTAAGTGAGAAAAACGGAAAAGTTTATCGAAGTGAAATGATTGACAACCGCTAATTGGTTATTGCGTTTTTACAGTACATATTTATATCTCTACTATAGTTTATTTGAAAATGCATAATAGCACAGTTTTTATGACAAATGTCTATATAGTATTTTTAATACAAATCCCGATGCACGTCAGCAATGACGTCGGACATTCGTCATAGTACTACCAACTAATTAAAATGTCCCTAACTAAGCTAATAATCCGAAAAAGTCACGTATAGTCACGAGCATTCATGAACGTAGTCATATTACTAAAAAGTCGAAAACTGTTATGGTGATTATTTTGATAATTTTAAGAATTATTTAAATTATTTAGTTTATACATGTCTAATTCTTGATAATATAAAATTTATAAAAACATTATTAAATGTTTAGTACTCAAAAAATAATACTTTACATTAAATAATTTTGACATTCTATACGCCCATGAAGCTCGTATTTATAGAGAAGAAATGTCATTTCAGCAATTGGTACACCTTGTTGCGGTGTTGCAACCCCTTTTTAAAAAATTTCACTGATTTAGTTAGGTTATATTTATGTCGAGTTAATTATTGATTGTGCATTTTGTTTTCTGTAATTTAAAATCCTTTTGCCTGTATTTTTAAGCTTTGCCAGTTATCATTATAAAAAACTGTTTTTCAAAACAACCATAGAGTGTATAAGCTGATTATTTGTCGTTTAATTTTTATATACAAAATGCCTAAAAAACTAAATAGTCCTTGTAAGGAGTTGATAGCTTCTTTAATCCATTATTTTGAATGAGAGCGTGATAATGATGGACCACGTTTACCTTTAACTGCTGTAAGAGAGGTAAGTTACAAGTTATAAAATTTAATAGAAATATAAAATTATTTTCTTGTCTTTTTTAGTGTGCTGCAGCATCTCTAAATAAAAATATTTCTACTGTCAGTAGTATTTGGCAAGCAGTCAAGAATAATGAATGATTAAAATCGCTAATTAAAAAGCATTCATAAACAAAGGATTACCTACTAATACAATAACACTGAATACAAGTGGAATCCGAAGTGGTATTAATAATATGTATGAAACAAGTAAGTATAAAGACAAATCTATTTATTCAATCATAATTTATTTATATTACCTATAAAAGTTTTAATTTGTATACAGTAATATAAATACATACTTATTTGCAGGTCAACATATAACTTTGGAACCTTTAAGAGAAAAGTTGATTGAGAGACAAATGTTTAATGGCTATATTGCATCATTGTCAACTGTATTAAAAGAATGAAGGAAAAAAGATAACCAAGACGTGAACTGTAAATAGGTCAGTTTTAAGAAATTATAGAATTACAACGGAAGCAGTTCGTTGTCATTGATGAAACATGTATCGTTCAAAATGAAACATTAAACAGCTCCTGGGAAAATAATGACAAAGGGTGTTAGACCTACAAAAATCGATGGCAAGAGATAAAACCAAATTTGAAGCAAATTAAGGTATCAGTAATTGTGTAAATCAAGTAAAAAAAAATATTAATATTGAAATGACACATCATATTTAAGATTTAATGGTAGATACGCTATTCTAGCAATCATATAAAGACAATTTAATTGGAAAAATTTGATTACAGTGGTCAATAAACATCTACATATTTTACACATTTTCAAGATGTACAGTGACACCCAAAAATGCCTTTTTTTTTCAGAAATAAACTTTAAAACAATATCAAAAAATTAAAAATGAAGTTACAAGATTTGATATAACGGTGTACCTAACATTAAATCATTGATATAATGTGTTGTTTCGATATTACAGTTTAGAATATAGTGATATTGACACACGTTATACGAAATGGCAACTAAATAAAACTAAATAAAACATTCTTTTTTCAGGTGCAAACCGCCAAAGAAATATATGGTAGATAATTACCTAAGCAGAACAATATAGACAAAGTATTACGTAATCTTCCCAGCCATTTTATTTTTAACTCCATTGAACTTATTTGTGACCTTTCTAAGCAATATTATAATAAACATATTGGCAGAGAGGGATTTTTTAATAGATTGGAAATTATTTTTATTATAATTAACTCTAATAGCGATATCGATGACTGCGATTCAAATACTTGCGATCTGGATTAGGAGAAATAAAAGAATTTTATAGGAATAATGAAGATTAGTAGATGAATAATTGTTTTTTTATGAGAAAATAGTGTAATTAAAAAAAAAACATTGTCTAATTTTTAAAACAATAAACAGTTTGATATATTTCTTATATATCTGTATTTTTATTTAAGTTATTCCAAGATATCAAAAAAATATTTGACTGAGAATAACATTTTTCAAATGTCTTTTGAAGCTGATAGAATGGAGAATCTTGATGTTTGAGTGATGAATCTATTGTTCATACATGTTTCGATAACTTTAGAGTTGAAAAGAAGTAGCGATATCTTTTTATTTTTGAAGCATTTCTGGCTATCTTGAATACTTGAGCTACAGAACCGTTACTGAAAGTGAGATTTACTAAAGCACCTACTCAAATATTTTAACAATTTCCTTCTTGTATTCAAATATTTTAGCATTTTCAAACTTTAATTCTTTAAGTATAGGTATCTACTGATATTATGAATCCTCCACATGCCTTTGTAGTTTTCATTTTTTCAATGACCTCTTTAATTTTATGGGGTGTTGTGGTTTATAACTTAAATGTAGTTCTGTTAAATAACTTTCTTGGTGAAATTAAATTAGTTTTAGATATTTTCTGTGCTAATTCTAAATCAATTTTGATCCATCTGCAATATACTACCTTACAGTTTTATTTTCCATGACTTGCATAATATGTTTAAAGCTTTTTGTTCAGATGTTTATTATTCATAAAGGAATTCAATATTTTCCGTTAGTTATATACATTTAAAACTAATTGTTCCTACTATAGGCGAGTTCGGTCAGTCAGGGGCTGGAGCAAGACAAATTTTTAAATGACATTTAAGCGTGTTAAACTGTCACTAATCGGACTAAACCTAACGCTAAAAGGGTCGTTTGGAGTTAAAAGTGTTAAAGGAGTTAAAGGAATTTGGCAGACCGAACGCAATGTATATAGTAACATAACAAATACATAACCTTACAATTTTAAAAAATTCTAAATTCCTCAACTATTCTGACGATTAGGCAACACTGCAAGGCCGTGACGTCATAAATGATCTCTGACGTGCATCGGGATTTGTATTAAAAATACTATATACAAGATTATTCACGAAATTCCTTTAATATCAAAAATAGTAAACTGTCAATAAAAAGTAACCACATTTAGTTTTACTTTCCTAACTGTATACAGATATCTGTCTGTGTATGTGTGTGTGTGTGTGTGTGTGTGTGTGTGTGTGTCTGTATCCGCCATAACTCATGAACTGATACACAGAAAAACACCAAGTTTAAAACTTAAGCTTTATTTCAGCCTCCAATGAAATTATTAGATTTTGGGCAGAGTCGAAACATCTGGGGGGTACTTTATAGGTGGTCATTTTTATATTTTATGGAATATATCTGTTATTTATGTTTAAGGAAGAAAATTATTTTAATAAAAGTTACTTCTAATATTATTATCTATAATTTTTGTTTTATACAAAATTTTCCTAAAATGGTCCGTATTCGATAAATTTGACAAAATAAAATAAATTTTTTTTTAT